CTCAAATTTTCAAACGCACCGCCGACAAAATTTGTCCCGGGTAAAACCTTGGCAAAATCGACTAAATAAACAAAAACCGCGCTAAAATTGTCGATCTGTTTGCCGTGTACGCCACCAGTGTGGTAATTGAACTAAGTTTAGTTAACCAAAAGATTGCAGTAATTGTCTTTCGTTGCGAAACTCGCGGATTTTACAACTTCAAACAACTTAAGATGAATCCTGGTAATTGGAGTTTGGATCCATAGGCAAATTATAGCGGCCATTCTTATGAGCATGTCAGGCGCTGGATGCAGCCGGGCACGATACAAAGGTGGAGTGATTTTCTGGTCGCCACTTCATCAGTCCAACCATGAAACAGTAGATGTGGCACAAGATTCAGAAGTGCCCACTCAAGGCAAAGGGAAAGGAAAAGCTAAATCAAATAAAATCACAGTGAATTATAGTATCAGTGCTATTTTTGGCTGTTAACCGAATTTGACAGATTTAACAGTATCGCCTTTTTCAGTGCGGATGCAACAGAGGAGACAAAAAATTGTCAGTACAAAATTTTCCTTTGATTTTGTCCGCAAAATTTTTGGTTTGTCTGCTAGTGCGGATAGGGCCTTATTTCCCCAGTCAAGTTCATGCATGTGCTAAATAATTTCGTAAAGATCTTCCTCAGCGATAACAGAGAATGATTAAGTCGAAATTAAATCGAACCAAACGATGGGTCGATATCCAATATTACCCGACCAACGCATTAATAACGGTTGCTTGTTGTAATCCAAAAGGTCAAATGGTTGAACAAATAAGCAAGTCACCCGAATATTTATCCTCTTCTCCAATCTAAATGAAGTAACCTTAGTTTTTTTCTTCGTAGTACACTCCCAAGATTCAGTTATTCAGTGCGTTTCTCTTCATCACTCACAAGCTGTAGAGGAGTTTGTTTGTTTGTTTTCCAACATCAAGTACAAGTTGCAAACTTGAGCTGTAGTCAATTAACTAAAAATTCAGGGAAATCAGTTTGGGTGTCTATTAAAAAAAAAAACTGCAGCGTCTCATTGGTGTTTATTTTTCAGTACCCGACTACAAAGATGATGTACCCGAATTGTACGAGGGGGACATGGCATTTACTAAACAACAGGTCCACATTCTTAAGCTGTCACGTCCAATCTTCAACAATGTAGCAGACTGGAACCAAGAAGCTCAAACAAGATACACCATAAGGAATATACGTCAACTCTGGCCAAACGGAATGATACCGTTTGAAATAAATCCATAAATCGGTACCTGATCATTTACTTTTCCCTCATCAGACTCTAGTCTAAAGCCTCACACATGTATTCATGGTTGCATTTGCGGTAATGAATCGTAGACGAAACCTTTTTGTCCTTCCCGTTGCCTTTTACTTCATTTAACACATGAATGATTCTAATATTTGGCTTTGTTTACAGTTTTCCTTCAAATAAACAGACGATAGAGGAAGGCAACTGATCAGAAACTCGATGAAGGATTGGGAAGATCATGTTCCCTGTCTCCAATTTAAAAAGAGAGGGCAAGAGAGTGGATACATCGAGTTAGTTTACAAGACGGGGTAAGTGAAGGGTGAAATTAACATTACGAAAGTAGCTCAAGGCATAACCGCTACTTTTGACAGTTTGAATATATTTCTTTTCAAAATATAGTTATTTACTGCCTCCCGGTTTGCTCAATTGCTTAGAGCGCCGGATTGTGTTGTGCTGGAGGTCGAGGGTTCGAGCTCCGGCCGGACCGATACTCATGGTCTTAAAATAAGCGAGGAGAATTTGCTACCTTTCTATAATCAAAAAATGGATAGATATTCTAGTTTTCTCGGATAAGGACGAATAAACCGTAGGCCCCGTGTCCTGCAGGGTTAGGGGTAGGAGACGATAATTTCCCACGCACGCGATTACTGTGTAATGGATGTCCTCCCCTGGGGTGGGATGGGTTGGAGTTGGCCTTGAAAAGCCCCCATGCCGGGAGTGGTCAAGTAACGTATAGATGTATGTATTTACAACTTGAAGTAAATGAACGTATCGTTTAATGGATAAACAGTAAATTAAAATTGTAATTTCACGGTGTTGTATTTACTTTCAATAGCTGCTGGTCTTATGTTGGTCACATTGGTGGACGTCT